ATCTTTTTTTTTTTTTTTTTTTTTTTATTCCTTTGAACACAGGAAGGCTTTGTGGATGGCCTCTGCATGGTTCCTGGTGTGTGCTGTGTGCTAGGGGGTTTACAGTACCTGGGTTTGCTCTAGGCTCCTTGAGATGTGTTGTGTTTTTTTTGGCTAGCATGTCTTAACTCTTCAGGCTTTGCAACTGCTTTATAGAATTGTATTGACTTTTTGTTCTGCTGTTGTTCAGTTGCACAGAGTTTTATATATATGATGTACTAGGTTTAATGTTAATTCTCTGTGAACAGGGTTGAGATTATTCATTGTAGTTTAAAAAAAAAAAAAAAAGTTGTATTCTGAAACTCCCTTTTAAAATCCTGTTTGTATTCTGTTGCAGTGTTACCAGATGGCCTTATGTACGTCACAGTGTTTTTGTGATAAGTACAGTAGCACATTTAATGCTTATCTCCCTCTCCCCCCTCTGTTTTTATAGCTGAGAAGTATATTCTTAATAATAGAGATGAATACATGGAAAAATTCTAGTGACATGTACAGTAAGGATATGACTAGTGGTTGTTCTCCTCTAATGTGTGTGAGGACAGCTGGAATTAATCTGAGACTGAAACATCTCTGAACAGGGATAGTTAACCAGCAAGAGCCTTTGTCTTGGGAAAGCTGAGCCTCTCTGAGCTGATGGCAGGTTTGCATCCTGTCCCCGAGGCGTGTAAATCGGAGTCAAGCTGTTGACTTCACTGGAAGGGATCTAATTTAACCAGCTGAGAATCTGTTCCTTGCAGCTTTTTGTCTAATGGCTGAGACTAGACTTAGGGGAGGGAAGTTTAACTTAAATTTTAGAGAACTTAAGCAACCTAATCAGCTCTGATAATATGTGGCAGTTGTTGTTCTGTTTATTTTTAAAGTGCACATCTGTTTTGGAAAGTGACTTTCTGATGCTTTTAGTGTTACTGCTCAATTGAATTTTTAAGTTAAGCTGGGTTCTTTGAAAATCAGCAGATGATGTCTGCAGGCTTTTTTTTTTTTTTTAAATACTACAGCAGCTCTGACATCTTACTTAGGGTAAACTGAGGAGACAATCGGTTAACGTACGCTTTAACCCTGAACTAGAGTCCCTTTTAATTTCCTGTAAGTTAAGTAGAACTATCAGTAAAATTATATTGAAGTCAGCAGATAACATTTGCAATTACTCTTTCCAGAACAGAATTGCATTTAATATATATTACCAAGTCAAGAGATGAAGTAAATTACGGTGTAGTGAACGTCTGCTAACTTCCTACACTGGCGCTGTAGTCTCGACATGGTCTTTTAGAGACAACTGTAATCTTACACCGCTTTGGTGCTCTGGTTACGGTTGGGTAACCCTGCCTGGGATAGAGTAGCTTCTCAGTCTGACATCTTTTTTTGACAAGCATACCTTATATTACAGAGTATCTTAATGCCATTGTGTTAAAAGAAATGCTGGTATGTAATGCAAGTACATAAATAGCCAAAGTTTTCAGTAATTGTTCAGTGTTACTAAATTTGCTTTTACTTAACCTTCCAAGATAACATATTAGGAAGACCTTCAGCATGTTGATAGCGCATTGAAAAAAAAAAAAAGGTAAGATCAACTTGACTACAGCAAATATGCAGTTATTTGAATGCATTTTCAGGTGTGGCTACAATTTGGAGGGCAAAGTTTAAGATACAAAGCTTACTTTGGAGGAGGTGCACTGTAATGACACTGCAGAGTAACAAATGATGCTTTTAAAGAGTGGCTTACTGGCAATTGTTATTCAAACATAATGAAGGTCTTTCCTGAGCAATCAGGTGACTTTT